AAGAGAGTTGGCAGAGGGGCTGCAGAGGGAACGCAGACCCCTGAGGAGCAAAATACATTTCATCTCTGACGTATAAAAACTGCAAGCACAAAGCAAAAGGAGGCAACGCTTTGCAGAGAAACCCACGGCGCGGGGGTAGGAGAGGGTACCGGGGCACCAGCACCAACAGGAGCAGGATCGAGCATGTCTGTACCGTACTGTGCATGGCCCTGGGCATGGGGAAGGGGGCTGCCCCCAGCCCGAGGCACATCTCCAAGTACCCAGAGGGGGAAGGAAAAAGGGGAGGGAGCCCCAGAGCAAAGAGACTCAACTGTCCTGACACATGTGCCAGCACCGAGCCCAGAGGCCATGGTTCAGGCTGCAGCCTCCCTCCCTGGAGAGCTCTGTTGCTGCCAGGTGCCATTCACAGCCTGGAGGGAGCATAGCTGTCCCAGCTCCATCGCAGAGCCTCACCCCTCCCCACAGCCAGGCCAGCAGCACTCCTGGTGCTGCACAGAGGGAGGCACACCCAGGCCTGTGAAAGGGCAAATACAGGGGACCTCCATGTTTCCCCAAAGCGTGAAAGCGAACCAGTTGTGCTCCTCCCTTGCCTTCTAACTCGGTCCAGGCCCTTGAAGACGTCAAATTGCTGAGCAGCAGCGTGACAGCAGGAGGGAGAAGGCCACAGCTGCCACTGCCAGCCCCAGGCATGGGACAGCCCCTCCAAACGGGACAGGCAGCAGTGTGTCGCAGACAGGAGAGCAGAGCAGGACAGAGGGAACAGAAGTCTGTCCTTAAATCCTCACCACCCCCCAAGTACCCAAGGGCAGGCGCAGGGCTCCAAGTCACACAAGACTGCACACAGGCACCCACAGAGGTACAGCCCCAGCCCTGAGACTTGCGGCCTGGGCAAAGTGAAGGAGGTTCCTGCCATGGGGCAGTGCCAGGCTCGGACCTGGTCCAACATGTGGGCAAGAGGAGGGAGGCAAGAGGGAAGTGGCAGCATCTCTCCACTCCCTGGAGGCACTGAAGCCCTGGAACATTCATGCATTAGCCAAAAGGCAACTATAACGGGATTTAAAACACATATATAAGGCTGGTCCCTGCTCCCCTCTCAGGGCTGTGGGAAGGGCAGGGCGTCTTCCACAAAGGGGAGGAAAGAAGCCATCTTCAGCACCAGGCGTGCCCAGCGCCCTTGGAGCTCCGTGTCCTCCTGTCGGGCCACGCCATGCTCCAGCTCTCCCCCCCACAGGCGGCAGGCTCAGAGAAAGTCAAACACCCCGTAATTCTTTGCTGCTTGATAGAAGAAACACAAAAGGGTGAAAAGAAAGAAGAGATGTTTAGGGTGGAAGGACCAAGGCAGCAGTGACACACGGGCAAGCAGCACAGGGCGCTGGGACAGATGCGGATTAATGGGGTTAGAGAGGACAGCAGGAGGGAATTACCACTGGCAATACACAAGTCCGGTGGCGGGATGGGCTGGCAGCACCCAGCAGGCCTGCCAGGCCCGTACACCCCGCTCGAGGAGGGATTAGAATCAAGGTTTAGTTCCATTTATTTTTTTTCCCTTTTTTTCTTTTCGTTATCAAGACCAAAAAAAACCAAAAAAAAAAAAACACCCAAAAAAACAAAACCCAAAAAACAAGGGGTGAAGCCAGGGCTGGGCCTAGGAGACAAACGATGGGGATGGAAGGGGAAGGAGGGGCAGCAGACAGACAGGGGACGGGCGCTTCACATTACATCCACAAAGAACTCACTGGGGTTGCCCATGGCCATTCGGAAGGACTGTCTACTGGCTGTCAGTTCAGGGGGCACAGAGGCCAGGTCACGGCCCGGTGGTGCCCCAGGGGGCCCCATGGCTGAAGGTGGTGGAGGCATCAGCAACATGGGGGGGCTGAAGAGAGGGGGGAGGCCAGGCGGCCCGTATGACTGCTGGCTGGGGTGGCTGCGGATGCTGTGAGCCAGAGAGTGCTGGCTACGCTGGCTGTGCTGGCTGGCTGGCACTGAGCGCTCGCTGGCCGCACGCTCACGCCGCATGCTGCTCCTTGTGGTGTGGTCCGACTCGCTCCCGCTGCCACCTGACTTGGACTCCCCAGTCTTCTCTCTCTCCTTCCTCCTCTCGCTGCCGCTGCGATTGGAACCACTGCTCCGGCTCCCTGCAAAGCGCAGGAGGCAACGTTAGGTAACAGCTCAGACAAGCCAGGAAAAACGGATGCTCCTCTAGCCAAGAGAGGACTACAGCATGCTGCAGCACAGCCATCTACCAGCACAGTCCGTGCCCTGTCTCCTTTCAACTTTGAGTCCCACAACCCTTCTGAGATGGCTTTTGCCCTGGCTCTCCCCACACACAGGGCCTTGCCTAAGCAGCCTTCTCCTGCAGCTTCCTGGTACCAAACAGGGCATCAGCCCACCTGCAGGGGTATTTTAGTTCTTTTCACTCACCTTCACTGTGCTGGCTGCCTGCACTGCCCCCTCCGTAGCTGTAGCCTGGGTCAGGGAAGCCGGGATGGGGGTTGTATGGATGAGGTGGTGGATACTGATATGGGAAAGCCATAGGCCAGGGTGCGGCTCCTGGGTGGGGGAGCGGAGCCAAAGTGTCCTGATCGGAGGCACCACTGGAGCCATCATGATCGTGAAGAGAAAGATTAGCCATGTCTGCAAGAAAGCAGAGAAGAGGTGTTAATCCAAGTGGAAAGACAACCACATGTGATGAAGCAGCTCCCTGTCCACCCTTGCTGATGGACAAGGATGGGGTACACAAGGAGAGGCAAGAAGTTGGCACTCTCCCTGCTGGTCAATGCAACCATTTGTGCTTCCTGGCTGGACAGTAGCCAGGCTATGTGAGTCCAAGATGCCACTCTAATACAGAGACCAGCTTGGTGGGAAAGGACCACATCAGAGCTACAGCTCACTCTGCCAATTACTTCCCCCATCCCTCTTATTTGAGCACAATCCAGTTGTCTGAGCACCACCTCCTTGCCAGCCCTGGAAGTTCAGAGCCTGGAGACAAAGCCAGTGAAGACTAAGACTCTGCTATGGCTGCCCAAGAGAAAAGATCACTTAGTAAGTGACAATACCATCTTCCAACTTCACCATCCCAGCAGCACAACAAGGAAACTCCTCACTCTCTTAACAGTGTCTTTAGAACAAGGGGCCCAGACTGATGGCAACATTTGGAGCTATGTCCCAATGGGTCAGCAGGGCTCTGCAGGACCCTCCATCTGCCCCCCTCCATCCTCTCCCTCCCCCCCCCAAGCCAAGAGCCATACTTCCACAGAGGTCCCCGAAGATGTAATAGCATTGCTCTGAGAAGGTGATCTTGTTCACGGTGTGTCGGATGTAGCCAGCCTTCAGCAGATTGCTGGCATATTTGCGGGATTCACGACGGTCTGTAAAGCCCTCCACATGGTGATAGAGCCAATCCACCACATCGGAGCCTGCCACCAAACATCAGAGTTAAATACAGCAACAGAGAGGAAGATAGTGGCCCTTGAGGTAGTGGGCCACACTGGAGTCAAGACAAAGTGGGCTAAAAGGTGAAAAGGGACTGCACAGGCAAAGGTTCAATTTGTGACTCTGGCCTGGTCAACAGTTTACAGTGACAGAGATGCTCCCTTGGGCATCTGCTTGGAAAACAGGCCACCCATTCCCCACTCCCTGCCTCTGCTACAGGCAGCACAGACTCTTACCAATGAAGGCATTGGGGATGGTGATCTTCAGCCACATGCGGTCACGCACCTCCAGGCCTGACTCTGGTGAGGCCATGGCTTTGACAATGGTGGCCATATCGCTGTGGATGGACAGGTGAAAGTCATCGAGGCCTGTGGTGTGGATGAAGGGAAGGGAGGCAGAGATGAGGGGACAGAAAAGACAACAGGGCTACATGGAAGCATCACACATAGGAAGAATGGGCCTGGGAACAATACATTGCAGACAGCCTTGGAGTGCATGCTGTGTAACCCCCCCTTCCAGCCTTCTGATGTTATCCTTCCCATGTCAGCCATTTTGCCTTGGGCAAAACCCAGGCTGCAGTCTCCTTCCTTCCAATTAGTCCCAAGCAGCTGGGATCCAAAAGCTGCCAAATGAGCCCACACAGTCCAGCAAGGGAATTCTCTGCTCCTCACAAACTTACAACAAACTCCTGGCTTTTTGCCCTGGCTCTCTAGACCCTTGCTTCAGTGCTCTGCATACTAGAATCACCCAAAACCTTCAGAAATCAACCAAAAGAGCCCTGTACTCAGCAGGACCCTGCCCTGCTGCAAGGCTTTTTGCTCCCAGCTGCCTCCACCCAGCCCTATCTGCTGTCTGGGAGGGCAACTGCTCCAGGGACAAGCTGATTCCCCCTGGTCTGGCACTCTCAGATGGTAATCCCTGACTGCTCTGAGCCTTTCCTCTGCACCTGCCACAGCTCCAGGGTTGTACCCAGGCTCTTCTACTCTCCTTATTTAGAAGGCTGAAAAAGGTGGTATTAATTCACCCAGCCAGAACCCCCACTGATCCAAGCACCTGCCTGGTGAGAGCTGCCTCCCTCTTAGTCCCCTGTCAGGGCAGACCTTGCCCATCCCAGCTGTCCCCAGGCAGATGTATTGCTCCCTTTACAGCACAGCAAAGGCGAGGAAGCCGTGCAGCGGGTGGAGCACGGAGGCACAAGGACTTACGTTCAGTCTCTGGGATGGAGCTGGTGATGGAGGAGCTGGTGGAAGTGATTGTGCTCATGGATGGACTCATACCGTACGCTGGGTAGGTGCCAGTCATCGCTGCCGTGTGAGACACCCAGGCTGCCGGGTCGATGGGCCGGATGGGCTCACCTGCAGTGAAGAAAGAGTCAGTCAATAGCTATAAGAAATTATCCCCTCATCAAATCAGCCTCTGGGGAGGGACAGGGATTCAGCGCAGCCCATTCCATCCCCAGCATCTGCCGGGACTCACCCGGATCGGAGCATGGAGAGTCTGGCCCAGCCCAGATCCGCTGGGGAGCAACTGGGAGAGAAAGAAGAGAGGGAGGGTCAGCAGGAGAGGTGCAGAGGGAGAGATCCCCCTATGGCTCAAGGGGGGGTTTCTCTTTCCTCTGGCGCCCCGAGCAAGTGACCCCCCTGCCCCAGTGAAACGCGTCCCCAGCGTGATGTGGGAAGGAGGGCTGGGCTTATGGGCATTTTGGCCTGGGAATAGGACATAGCAGCCTCCTAACAGGAGAGCTGAAACCCCATCAAACCCCAATTCAGTGCCACATGGAGTCACAGACACAGTGGAGGAACAAGACAACAACCAAGTAAGTGCTTAAGGCAGGGCTCTCACATGAGCTGGGGACCAGCGTTAAGGGTGGGTCAGCTATCCACTTACTCCTGGGTAACGAGAAGCAGCCCCGGGGGCTGGGGTCCCAGCACTTGGCCACCGTCAGGGTGATGGGCCTGCAACAAAAAGGTGAGAGTTAGAACAAGAGCACAGTGGCACAAACCCCTGCGTGATGGGTGGCTGCTGTATGCCATCTCTCTCCTGCGAGACAGGGAGAAGCTTCCAGTAAAGCGTCCTCATCCCCCTCCAGCTACAGGTTTCCTTAGTGGCAAGGACAAAATGATGTGACCCTTCTGAGGGTTGCTGATGACCCTGATGACACAGCGTCCCTACAAAAAAGGGGCCCAGACCCCAATTCACCACCATTCTGTTGGCTGCTATTCTTGCTTTGGGCACGAAAACCCAGGAATCAAAGCAACACCAAACCCGTAAGTTCTGACCTTCTGCAGAGCCACAGGCAGAGGTGGCTGGAAGACATGATGCACACACCCCAAGCACACACTGTAGAGCTGCCCATGGAGGTAAGGAACAACCTGAGTACTTACCCCGGCTTGTGCACAATCTCCCTCAGCACCCGCACAGCATCATCGTTGCTCATGTTCTCAAAGTTGATGTCATTTACCTGCAAACAACGCAAAGAGGTGAGTCCCAGAGATGTGACCAGAGGCTGAGCTCCACGCTCAGCAGTGACTCAGCTTCCCTCTTCCAAGCACAGCTTCCTGGGTTTAGCCTGCCAAAGCGCACAAGGAGGCTTCTGGGTCTTTTCTCACTGCTTTCCCAGGCCCAGTGATGGAGGTATGTGGGTGTAAAGTACCTGCAAGAGCATGTCTCCTGGCTCAATCCTGCCATCAGCTGCCACAGCACCACCCTTCATGATAGAGCCAATGTAAATGCCTCCATCCCCACGCTCATTGCTCTGTCCCACAATAGAAATTCCCAAGAAGTTGTATTTCTCTGCAGGGATGGAAAGACAAAGAAGTAAGACACAATAAAGCAGCAGTCACAAGCAGCCCTAACCTCAGACAAACCACGTGCTAATAATGATCATCTCCTCACTCCTCCCCGCATGTGTTCTCTTTGCCCCCTCCCCAGTTCCCTCTCTGTCACCCAGTCTCGCTCTGGAAGGACTGCAGGTTCCAAGCACACCTCCTACTCACCCATGTTCAGCGTGACCGTGATGATGTTCAGGGACATGGTGGAGTCTGTGATGCTGCTGAAGGACGATGACTGCAAGATAAGCAAAACATGAGATGTCCTCCTGTGCCTCGGAAACATTCCCAGCCCCGGCTCCCTCCACTTGTGCTCCCTGCCACTCCCTGGGGCACCACAGCCACCATCCATCACTCCAGCCGTATGCTGGGAGCTTTGCAGAGCCAGAGGGCATCAGCCACAGTCCTTATGACCTCTCCACAGCCAGGACAAGGTCTGTGGTCCCAGCTCTTGAGGCTACATTGGCTTGGGAAAGGTTTACAGCACTTGGACACCACCTGTGCCCACAGCAAACACAGCCGAATCCCCAATCAGTCCTGGAGCACTGAGTGGAGAGACCCACCAGGCAGCCCACCTTGCCCTGCACTGCCCTCCCCAGGATGCCCAGCCCCTAGGTACCCGCTCAATGCGTGGAGCCTTCTGTTTCCGCCGGCGTCGCTTGTGCCTCCTCATTAGACGGGAAGCACTGCTTTGCTCTGTTGAACTGCTAAACCTAAAGGTAAAAGCAAGAGTCAGCTCTTCTGCTGCCAGGGTGGTGGCTCCAGCAGCAAGAGAGCCTCAGAAATGTCACAGGGAATAGAAGATTGCAGGGGCAGAGGGGCAGAACATATACGCAGGGGACAGACAATAGCAGAGGAGCCTGCTGGGTGAGACTTGACACAGACGCAGGTCTGAGCAAGGACCCTGGAGTCCAGGATTACCGTGCCCTGCAAAGGCATTTCTCTGTCCTGGGAGGCAGGGGGAAGCTAGCGTTCCTCCAGAACCTAAGCTCTCCTACCTGCTGGTGGAGTCATCTTCATCTGAATCGAAGAAGCTGGTGGTCTCCAGCTCACTGCTCATGAGCGTGGAGGAGCTCTCGTACCCGCCCAGGTCTCGGCGCCGCTCTCCCTTCACTGTCCCATTCACCCTGGGTGCTATGAAGAGACGACTCAGTGTGCATGAGACAGGCCACAGGGAAACAACCCCTTTCCTTCCCACGGGACTCATGGCAATCTTCCCAGAATCAAACTGGCCACCAGATAATTCCATTTAGTGCTGTCTGGCTCAGAGTCTATCCTGGGATCAGATCTAACTTCTGTGGGATACCTCTTCTATCACCACAGGATGGGGTAGAGGCTGATAGGCCAATAGGAACAAAGCTGTTGAAGTTGTGGAAGACCTGCAGCTGGTTTCTTGGTGGAGCAAGAAGCAGCATAGAGTGGCAAGGCTACAGCACCCTGCTTTTCAACTAGGAAGGACGGGAGGCACTGCTGTCTCCTGCTCTTGAGGTTTCTACAGGAGACATCTTTGCCTCCAAAGCTTTTAACACCAAGCTCTGATGCAACACAGGTTTTAGGTCCTGCATCCAATGTGAGGATATGGCCTCAAATCACTGAACAGCCCTTCTAAGCTGGGAAGGTTCTGCAGAGCAGAGAGCACTGCCCCATGTCTGGAGCTGCCCCAGCCATGCTCTGCAGAGCTCTTGCCATGTTACCAACACTCACCATGCTCAGGCCCATCTTTCCGACGAGGTCGTTCCCTTTGCGACGACACCACTGAGTCTGTCTCTGTCTCATTGTCCAAGTTTTCCCGACTCCCCCCAGTGTTAGGGCTGTGATGAGATAAAAGGAACAACTATGTCCAACAGGGAACAACCTAAGTAAGCTCTCTGTACCTCTGTGCTAGCCAGCACAAGCCTCCAGCCATCAGTTGTCTCCCTCTTGAGAGACAGGAGTAGAGGCGATGGAAAAAAAACCACAGCACATCTATGAGTGCAGGGCAAGGGACTGGGGGAAGCTGTGCCAGCTCTTTACCAACTTCCCTGAGCTATTTTCAGCATGCCCTTGCTTGTTGAATAATGCAGCTCCACTTTGAATCTGCTCCCAACCCCATCCTCCTCCCCTCTGGCTGGCTATGAACCTTGCCCATTTGGGTAGAAGTGTCCCAGCCCCTGGTCTGAATTTACAGCAAAATCACTGTGGGCCCCATGAAAACCAGGATAGGTGTCCAGGTAACTTACTGGAAAGAGGGGGGCCTGGAGTCTCCGATTCCTCCTGTGCGCTCCACGGAGGGCGGCAGCTCTGTTTGGTTATCAGCACAGACTGAGCCAGCATCTGAATGGGAACCCTCTGCAGACACCAGCTGGAGGGACGAGACAGAAAATGAACTGGCTGAGGCACTGGGAAAACGTTTACAAGAGTAGCCAAACGAGCTGGCCAAAAGCCTGCCTGGCCCAGAATCTCATCTCTGACGGTGGATAACAGCAGATGCCCAGGAGCGGGTATGGAACAGGCCAAGCATGTAGCAACATTCCCCCTCAACACCTTCCCAGACGCTGGCTATTTGTGGCTCAGGAATTCCTGACCCAGCGGTGAAGTCCGGGTGGCTGACAGCCCGGCTTGGAGACTCTGACATCATCTGCACACCCACACTGCACAGTTTTTACTCTTAGGTAACCTTTAGCATACGTCCTGTGGCAAGGAATGGATTCCCCTAGTTCTTCTTACATTGGAAGAGGCCGTCATTCCTTTTCTCAATTTTACCGGCCTCTACACTTCTGCCTTCGAGCTGTGGGACTCAGCAGGACTTTCACCTTCCCAGCCCATGATGGGAGCTGGGGGTAACAGAGCTCAGGGCTGAGGCTGGCTTTGAAACAGACTCCAAAACATACTGCTTTTTTCTGGCTTCCACAAGTACTTTGCAAACTTTCAGCTTGTGCCCAGCTAAGTGTCCTCAGCATAGCCTCCAGCTAACCTCTAGGAAGTGCAGCAGTTTCTCCAGTGCATAAATTCAATAAAAGGTCAAATCCCAGGAACAATTTATACTAGCCATGCTTTGGGGCAGCCCAGGCACACCTACATCTGTGGCTCTAAGATACACCATGAATTTCAGGGCTCAGGGAATGAGGTGGAGCCTCTCCTGGGCGAAACAGGCTCACCAGTGGGACGAAACAGAGGACAGCTCAAAGGAACTCAATGGAAAGTGGTTTCCCCAACATCACTCCCTGTCCAGGTTTGTGGTTTCCCCAACATCACTCCCTATCCACGTTTATGCTCTCCCCACTTTCAAGCCACACTGAACAGGGCTAATTCCAATAGGGCCAGGCAGGAAAGCCTCTTCCTTGCAAGAGACATTCAGAAACCCCCAAAGCAGAGGTGACAGGGCCCAGAAAAGGAGCCCTCCCCCAGCCAGGGAGCAAGTCCCCAGGGAAAGGCTAGAGCTCTCATAGAATCATAGAATTGCTTTGGTTGGAAAAGACCTTTAAGATCATCGAGTCCAACCGTTAACCTAACCCTGCCATCCCACCACTAAACCATATCCCTAAGCACCTCATCTATCCTTCTTTTAAATACCTCCAGGGATGAGGACTCTACCACCTCCCTGGGCAGCCCATTCCAGAGCCTGACAACCCTTTTCTCGAGCAAGTGAAGATCAATTTCCATCTCTAAGGACTTTCACATGTGCTTTTCATGTCTGCACCACATCTGTCCCCTGCAAAGCACGGGCAAGCAGGGGGGTTGGCTCTCTCCCAGTGTCAGGGAGGGACCGCAGGGCCCAGCACCTTGATCCACCCCAGACGAAACAGGCTGTGGGTCAGCCTGGAGCCAGCCCAGGGAGGCGAGGAGGCCAGGACAGGGGCCAGGCCCCAGCCTGTGCTCTTGAACCAACTGCCAAGCCACCAGCCATCACAGGAGAGGCTTAACCTAGCAGAGGTGAGGGATGCCCCACTCTGGGTCAGGGCAGAAGGATCATGAAACATGGGCTGGAAAGGAGTGGATAGCTGCTGCCCAAACTGTAAATGCAGAGGTGGCTCTGCTGCCTGCTGGCGAGGGGACCACCCGTGCAACATGGAGGCAGGAGCAGGTGCCAAGCCAGGCGCTGGAGGCACAGCCCGTTTATACAGGTCCTGAGCGCTTCCCAGCATCACTAATGAAACACAAAGCTGTGCCCTGCCCACCTTGGAGAACTGGGGAAACCATGGTAAAGGGGGGGATGGACCCCACAGATTATCATTAGGGCAAGGGGAGAGATGCAGCCCCAAGAAGGCCACAGCCAAGGCAGCAGACAGGGCAGAGAGCACCCTGGGGTGCCAAAAGCTGCAGAGCCCGTCCCACAAGCCCCAGGACAAGCCCAACGGCTCCTGCTCTCGCAACTATCTAACCAGCTCTTGTCTCACACTCGGCTCAGCTTCCCTCCCTACAGCAAGCCCCAGGCACATGCCCAGTTCTGTTTCCGGCACACCTTCCCGGTGACTTGTCTTCCCAGGACACATCCCCGTCCCTGAGGGCCACATCCTTGCTCTGGCAGCCACTGCCTGGGAGCACAGGGGAGAAGAGATGCTGGAAGGAGCCAGCACCGCCTAGGGAAAAGTCATATAACACTATGCTTGAAGATCTCAAGGCAAGAGCAGGCAAATAGATCTGGACAGAGGGAGCTAGCTGCAGGCAGCTGTCAAACAGCAGTGAGAAGGGGGGGAATTCCCAAGCAGGGGGACTGATGCTGCCTTCCTCTAACATTCCTGGGGCTGGGATTTCCTACAGGGAAGGTTTTGATGACCACCCTGCACTTTTCCTGCCTCTTGCACTGTCAGGAAATATTTGCTTGGATCCAAGCCCCTGTCTTTCCCTCTAGCTAAAATTAGTACCAAGTTCCTAAAATAGTTTCATCCCAGCCTGTCTGGCAGAAGCAGCAAAGCAAGTGTTCCCCCCCGCCCCCAAACCACCCATGGACAAGAAGACTCTTAGGAGGGATAGAAAAAGGGATCATCAGCTGTGCATAAAGGTCTCTGAGACTGCCATCACCCTTCGTGCACAAGAGCTGGGAGCCGTGCTAACTCCAGGCACATCCTGGCCCTGCAAGGAGCCAGCACGCCCAAGCAGCAGCACGGTGCCCTGGACACGCCAGACAGAACAACACCGGATCCGTGCCACTCACACTGAGCAACCAGAGCGCCCCTACAAGGAAAGCCAGCAGCTGTGTGGATGTGTGGACCACAAGGAAAAGCATGCCAGGTTAAAAAAAAAAAAAAAAAAAAAAAAAAAAAAAGCAATGGAAAGGGTTCAGAGCCTCTGGGACTCCCCACAGGGCAGGTGAAAACAAAAGGCAGATGGAAAGGGAGGGATGTGGACATGTCTCAGGGCAGATGCAGCAGCAGTGGAGATGGTGGCCAAGAGCTGGACAGGCTCTTTTCTGAGGGGCCTGGCTAACCACTAGAGGGAGGACAGCAGGCGTCTGGCCGACGGCTCTTTGTGTGGGAGCCCAGTGCACCCTCTCCTCCCAGTGCAGGACCCCAGCCTCCGTGCTACTCCCTGGGCCAGCATCCTGGCAGGAGCCAGTCTGGCAGCAGGGCTCCTGCCCACCCGGTCCTGTCGCCCCCACCCTCCCTCCCAAAATGCAGTCGCTTTATGACCTGCCCAGCTGAGGCCTAGCTGTTAGGTGTGGGGATAGAAGCAGCATTGGGTCCGACCTAGTCTGATTTGTTGTGGATTTTTACTGTTTAGGGGCTATCTGGTAGCCTCTGGAAAAAGGCACTTGGGTCTTGGTTCTGCTCCTGGCATAGATCCATACACCCTCATCAGCCCAAACTGCAGCTCAGTAGAGGGGAAAAAGGGATGACGGGCCATGGAGACTGAACACCCTTCCCCCTCCCCCATCCCAAAAAAGAGGGTCCGCTTGGGGGCAGAGGGAGGCATGCGGGCAGGGGACAGAGCATGTGCATAGCATGGCATGGCATGGAGGGAGAAGCTTGTCCTGCAGCTGCCCAGGCAGTACCTTTAGTCTTCAGGGCAGTCAAATCCAGTCCGCTTCACCAACACTAAAGTCACTTAAGCCCTTTGCGCCAGTCACCGGAGCAGGACTTTCCTTGGAAAGCTGACCCTGCCGTAGGGGCACATGGGTTACACTGCAGACAGGCTGGGACCGTCACCTCTGCCAGGCATCAGTGACCGCGAGTGAGCTCTCCACAGAGGCATCCCACATCTTCCCCGGGACGGGGGAACCAGCACCATGCAGCCCCCTCTCCAGCTAAGGGACTGGAGTGTGGCAATCCAGCTCATCAGCTTCATTAGCAGTCAGCACTTTGACAGCAGGGAGCAGTTCCCGTGCCTTACTTGGCACTATGCAGCCAAACGGTGGCTTTCAGAGAGAGCAGAAACAGGTAGCGAGATACCAAAGCAACGGGCTTGCTTACCCATGACACCACCCGGCCGTTGAAGCAGGGAAGCTTGGCATTATCATCCGAAATTTCTTCTTTCACCACCCTGCAGAGGGGAGAGGAGGCAGTCAGAGCTGGGTCCAAGACTTCAGAGGAAAAGGAAACTTTCCCAGGTGGGTGTTTGCACCCAGCAACACGCAGCCGAACCGGCAGCTCCCTGCTGCTGCCAGGCCACAGCTTCCTCTGCCCACGGCCATGACTGGCAGGCTGGAGAGGAGAAGACAAGGGCAGAACAGGCTCTCCCGTGTGTATCCAGCTGTTCTATCCCCCAATTCACATTTTAATCAGTCAAAAAAAAAAAAAATCCAGATGCATACTTCTGCCAGTTCACTTATTTCTAAAGAAATACATAATTTAAACTTCTTTATAATGATCTGAAAGAATCACAACCTATGCCAGAGATTTCTAACAGATGAAAGAGAAAGACATTAAACATGCTGCCTCCCAAATGTTACTGTTGCTTTTTAATTACGTACATAATATTTCAACATCACTTGAAGCTTTATAGTTGTGCCACAATGTCATGTTCCCGCATTACACAAACAGCTACATCATTATCAGTCTTCACAGTGGAGGAAGCACTGATAATTTTTTTCCCCCAAGAGCAAAACCATCAGTTTTCTTTGGAGAGAAAATGTATTCTATTTTAAATATCACCGGGCACCTAAATAACTTTTTCCACGGTGAGTCTGCAATCAAAACAACTTGTAAATTCAACAGATTCAATTAATACCATCTTTGATAAATCAAATTTAATGGCAAAATAGGCTTTAACAATCTCATTTTCTTTTCTCCTTAATGACATTTTAAGCACTCTCATTTAATACAAAGACACCTTACAAGTAGTTTGTGATATTAATTTCCCCTTCCAAGCTATATCTAAGGTAGCTTGACACATATTGTGCTTAAAAAAATAACGTAGTAACTAATCAGTGAATAAATTATGCTTGGGGGGAAAAAAGAATCCAACAGGAAAAGAACAAAAGAATGAATGCGAAACCAAAGGAAATTATGTGTTAAAAGACATAGCTTATAACTAACAGAGTACACAGAGGTGGGATCCCATCAACAGCTCTGAAGGGTCCCTAAGCCAGTCCCCAACTCACGGAGAATCGAAGAGGATGCAGGGGTGGGATGCCAAGCTGTGACCCATTGCCCCAGACCACCACGCAGTCCAGGCACTGCCATCGAGTTGCAGCACGCTGGGGCTTGGAGAAACCGGTACTCTGGGCTCCTGGCTGCGCTCCCTGGTGCACCAACAGCTGCCCAAACCGTCACTGAAAATAGGACGGTAAGGCTGGCCAACGCTTGCAAGGCATCAGTGAAAGGCAAATGAACAGTGCTGGGAGACCAAAACCTGGGGAGCAGGCTCACTCCACCCTGCCAGCCACACTGGTTGCTCCAGTGTCACGCATGCTCAGCAAAGGGCTGTCCCACGGGGAGAAAGACAGCACATTGCCACATCTTTGCTGGCAGCTGGCACTCAGGATTCCTGCCCGAACTGGAGAGCCTGTGAAGGGACTGGACAAATGATACCCATCCTCAGAAGGCACAGATGAGGAGGTCACGGTTTGAGCAGTCTAATCCACTCCCAGGATGTGCATTAATTCCTCTTGGAGGAGCAGGAAAGGAGCACTGAGGATAGATTAAAACCCTGCTGGCTTAATGCTTCTCCAGCATGCCCTATGCCAGCCTCTGCCCAAAGCCCTTGCAGCCCAGGATGAGTATCAAACACAGGCAGTCTGCCCCAGGACCCATCCTCTTCGGTGCCCACGCCAACCCTTTCCAATGCAGGCAAGTTGTTGTCCCCTCACTTCCAAGCACACACACACACGCACGCACCCTGGCCTGGCTGTACTAGCATCCATTCATACTGTCGCCAGCAGCCTGGACTTCATCCAATTCCTAGAGAGAACTTCAGGCAGAGCCAATTTTCAGTGCTGCGTGCTGCCTGCTCAGGGACACAGAGCCCTGCCTGTGGGTGAAGGGACAGGGTGATATATTTGCAGGGTCAAGGTGACCAACCGCTAAGCACAAATGAACTATTCCATTTTCAGTGGGGACAGAGGAAACCAACCCCAAGATCCCCTGCCCACCCTCAACTGCAGTGCCCGATGGAGAACAAGCTCCTTCTGTCCTGAGAGCTGGTCCCCTGTCGTTCCTATTACCCCACTGCTGCCCCAGACATCCCAGGGGTCAGCTCCACCCCGCAGCAGTTTCCTCCCTCCTTCCCCAGCTACTACACTATTTATCACTATTTATCACCCAGATGCCAGAGGACAATGGATTATATATTTAGACTCTACAGAGCAAAAGCTGATAGTGCTGGAGTCGGTCACATGCCGAGGAGGAATCTCTCCGCAGCCCTGCTCACGTCTGTCACCCCTCACACTGTCCCAGCTATGCCTGCCCTGCATTCCTCTCCATCCTCAGCCCTGAGCTGTAGCCTCCCCCCCTCCTCCCCCCCACCACTCTTCAAGCCACACTTCTCACACGAACAAGACCGCAGGTTCACGTCAGAAGCCACCAACCGAGCAGCCTCTGGGGGAGCTGTGAGCGATGCCACGTTTCTCCTCCGCGGTTGCGTGGGGAGGCAGCCATGAGATGAAACTCTCCTGTGGATGTGCTGGGAGGGAAAACCATCCTGTGGATGTGCTGGGAAGAGCCCCTAGCTGATGGGATCTCAACCCAGGAATCCCGGAAGAGCAGTCTCAGAAGGAGCTCAGGCACTCTCAGTTCTCTAAAAGCCTTTCCTTTTGGCAGGAGCCACCACAGCCCAGGGAAAACATCTGCCCAAGGCTGATTTCAAAGGGACTGCTTTTAGTTTACTGTCCATCGGGGCAGCCCGGTTTCAGATTTTTCCCATGTTTAAAGTCCTGCTGAGGCCTGGGCACAACATGGCTGAGAATGGTGGCCATGAAAAACCCCCTTCTATGGAGAGGCAGCCCAAGCCTTGCCCAAGCGAGTGTGGGTCCAGCCCCCTCAGTGCTGCTCTGCATGGAGAAACACCAGGCAGAACGGGCGCTGGACGGCCCCCGTCCTGTCCCTGGGGCCGGCCGACGTGCTGCGGCCAAGCTGCAGGCTCAGCGCCTGGCCCGCAGGCCCAGTGCTCCCCAGCACTCATCTGCCTTGAATTTTCCAACAAAGAGACCTGCGGGAGGGAGGAAGGAGGGAGGGAGGGTTACAGGGGAGGCAGGCGGAGTGGGCGGATGATTCAGCCGCCATCCCCAGCGACACGGGGCCAAGCTGGGGAGGGGGGAAAGGAGGAGGGGACGAGGCTCTGGCTGTCGCAGGAGCCTGGCCAGGGTGTGCAGAGGGGGCTGCCAGGTCTGACACAAACAGCACATCTGCTCCCATGCAGCTGGGGGAGGGGAAGGGGCAGCCCCGGCAGCAGGGAGGGAAGCGGAGGAAAGCCAGCTCCAACCCTGGCTCCATCCCTACCCTCCCGCCGGTTTCTCCGGGAGAGCCGGCAGACCCTCTCCCCGCGGCCTGGGAAGATGCCATGCTCCCAGCTTCCCTCCTGCTCCCTGCCGGTGGGAGCAGCCGGCAGCCTGGAACCAGGACACAGAGGCGGGCGAGGGACAGGAGGGCAGACACTGCCTTCTCCAGGGAGCCCCAGCCTGGCTCAGGAAATTAGAGGGTATTTTATATCACAGAGTCATGTCCTAGGAATGAAGGGAAGGTGAGGAACAAGAGAGCATGCACAGGAGAAAGGCGGCCATAAAACCCAAAGCTGGGAGACGGCTGCGCCGTGTCAGAGACCCCGGGCTGCGCAGCCCTTACCCGCGCAGCTGCTGAGCTCCCAGCCTCCCCGTTTCCCCTCGGTGGCCTCCAGCCCGGGTGAGGCTGCGGATACAAGGGAGTTTCTAGCTTCAGCCAGCTCTGGTCTCTCCTGAGCAGGACCCGCTAACCACAGTGGGGTCCCAGCGAAGAACTTGGATGGGGTAATGCAAGCCCAGGGAAAGAAGAAATCCAAGAGGCATTGACAAAGGCTCCGGCAGGCTTTGAACCTCAGATGTGGATACAGGCTGGAGCTCAGCAGCAATCACTGCTTGTCTCTGGCAGTCCCGTCCCCCATCTCGTCTGTCTAAGGGCTCGCAATGGGGAGAATACTCAGAGAGAAGCAATCACAGGACGCAGCAGTGATCAGAAAAGCTGAATCTGGAGTTGGGGGGGTCCATACCAAGAAGGAAGGGGAGGGGAGCCCTCAAGCATGTTAGACAGCTTGATGGCCAGGATGAAAAGAAGTCTTATTAGGGAGGTGCAAAGATTAAGAAGACAATTGAGCACCGACAATTTCATACTAAAAAGAGGAAAAGCTAGTAGAGCAGATGAAAAAAAGTAAGATCTTTTCCTTCATTTAGTGCATTATTGAAAGACCTTCAGAGAAGTGCAACATTTTTTCCAACATTGCAAGCCCAGAAATTCAGTGTTAAACTTAATCATCTATTACAACCCCCTAAAAGTGCATAATTAGGTAGGTCACTCCTCTAACCTTAACAGCCCCCATCTCCTACAGCCCACAGAACCACGAAAGAAAGAAAGAAAAAAAAAAACCAAACAAAAAACATCAGGAGACATTTCTACCCAATAGCACAAGCTTCAGGGATTTACACACCAGAAATGTGATCTCATTTTCAAGACCTTTAGTACACACCCCTTAGGGCAGGGATGTCTTGTCTCCAAATGATTGTACAGATTGATAATGCTGCATAGCAAAAGGAAGCACCTTCATGTGCTACTATCCAAATGTGAGCATCCCCTAGCTCTAGAGCAAAATCCTCCTCCCTTCTGCAAGGTCAAACGCTGCGGCCACAGGGACGAGCTCTGCAGCCATTTCACCAGAAGAGAAAATTGGACAGGGCAATTCTCTGACAGAGTTGGGATTTTGGATGGTAAATACATGCCTGTTAGACTAACCACAGACATGATGTGTGATTCCCATGGGGATACAATCCCCCCAAGGGCTACACAGGCCCAACCAAATAATACACACGTGTATCAGTGAGACCTTGGGCTTCGCAGGCAAACAGCATGCATCAAACAGGATTAAAGGATCTGAGCTGTCTGTCTCCATAAGCCAGGGCATTCTTCGGGTCTTCCTCACTGTATTTTTACCTCCTGTGCAAGGAGGAGGAGTACATAGGGTACAAATTGCACAGTGCACTGGGGTGAGAAGGGCTCTCTGAGTGTAAACAGAGATCATCGCTCCCCCATTTAATTTCCCTCCTGAGCCCCCAGACGGGGTATCCTCTGCTGTTCCTCTATGCTTTAGCATAGGGTAAAAAGGGAAACACAGATCCGTGGGTGTTTTAGCTCTGTCAGACCCTCCTCCCCAGAGGAGCTGCTGTCCTCCTATCTGTCCCTGCACTCCCTGTGAATGTGAGCTCCCTCACAGCACTGTCTTTACCTCAGGTCCTTTTCAAGAATCAAGAAACGCAAACCAGCAGTCGGGTGAACGCAACAATAACACAGCTCTGCATTCGAGCAGGAGAGGCTGCCTCTGCCCTCCTAACAGATCAAGGGAGATTCCTCAGGGAGCAGGTCACCTCATTTCAAGCTACTGCCCACACTCTCCTCAGAAGCGGGGACATAGTGCCCATGAGCAAAACCACAGGAACAGCCTCTTTTGTTTTCAGGCTGTAATCTCTACAGCCTCCCTCAACCGCACTCACCACTGCTTCCCCACAGCCTCCCCATGCACCCCACAGCTTGCCGTGCTTTCCGCCCATCGTCACTCAAGCAGGGGCTGAACAGACATCTAAGATGGCAACTCTTTTCCCCAGGAACCTCTCATCAACACATTTGCAATCACTCCACTGGACATACACCAGGACAACCACAGCCCCTCTGCCCAGGAGATGCTTGGCTCCGGCTGGACCTGTGCTCAGTCCTACATGCATCACTATGTGGGAGATGACAGAGAAAACACCTCCTGTTCATCTAGTCCAAAGGCTGGAAACAGAATGGCATTTAGGAGCGAGCCACCCAACCTCACAGGCCTGCCCAGGAGCAGCACTTATCAAAGCAAAGCTACAGCAAAGCTTGATTTTGAAGTGAGCTCAAGAGCCCTGGCGGCCCCTCCCGTCTTGATCTCCAGAGTGACCATCTGGCTGCAGCACTGCTCTGCAAACAAGCCCAACAGGACCGTCC